TGAGGAGATATTTGTAGGCTGCAGGAGAAGATCATTTTGGTTGGTTGAGGGGCAATTCGACCAACAGTGCAGAAAAAAGCAAGTATATATATTTAAAGCTCACAGTGGACATTTAGTCAGTATTTGAAGCTCACAGTGGACATCTAGTCATTTCCAATTTCAGTTTTTGTGGCATTTTTGATGGTCTGCTGTGCCTCCCTAAGATACTGAGGGCAGAAAATTGCCCCTCAACCAACCAAAATGATTTTCTCCTGCAGCCTACAAATATCTCCTCAGCCTACAAATACCTTCCTACAAATATCTTGCATCAAGTTAGTGAGATTATTTCACAAATAAGAATTACAAACTGTTTTTCTTAAATTGCTTTTAGGGTGAATGTAAAACCTATACATGAACTAGATTTTAAAAGCTCCCTTTATTACTTTTGATCCTGTATGAATGAGGTGCACACTTTTGCATGTAGTAAATGAAAGATTTAGCCGGGCCTTTTTTTGTATCTTATATCGAATGTTCTTGATGTGGGCCCAAAGATTGGCCATGTCAGTATGTTGACATGTTGTATCTTTAATATTTAACAAGGAGGTCTTAGCAGGTTATTAAAGGGAAAACAAAACATGAAGCATGATTAATTTGGGGTTTACTTTGCTATTCATATGGAACTGTTTTTCATTTTAAAAATTTGGTCTTTCTGAATACATGTGTTAGACCTATTCAGTTGCCAAGATATCTTGTCACAACATGCAATACTGGAGCAGGTAGCTTTGGGGAAAGATTTAATTAAAGTTTACTATAACTCCCTATGTAGTCTGTGATTCAACTGAATTTTGAATTACAGCATTCACAGATGCATTAGTTATAGAAAAAGAGGATTTTGTGATGTAGACGGCAAATGCCAAGTGTCAGATGCTCTGGGTTTTCTTAAGCAATGGTCCTGCTCTCTTGAAAAGATGCTATTCACATCTGTCATGGCTAGACGACATGGCAGAGAGTATCGGCAGAGAGTTTAAAAATAGTGGGAATCCTCTCAGATCCACTTCAGGAATGTCCACACACCCCAAGAGACTTCTGAAGGGTGGAAATGTATCCTTTGGAACATGAATGGCAGAAATGAGAAGAATTTTGAAACACTGCACTGATTATCCATGGGGACATTCTACAAATAGATCTAGATTTTTACAAGTCTTGTGTCCCAACAGATGCTCATGGGTGCTGCTTGCTATTCTGGGTGTTTGTGTGTTTGGTGGGGTTTTTTTTGGCAAGGGGTGGGGAAGTTGGAATGGTTATGGAGTTTGTACCAACTAGGAAAGACTGATGTTAAAGTCCTGAATTGTTCTCTTCATAGGTTTGCAACAACAACCAGAACTGCCATTGTTTCAGTGGATGGGCACCTCCATTTTGCAATAAACCTGGGAATGGAGGAAGCCTGGACAGTGGCCCCATGCCTTCAGAAAGTGGGTGTGACTCATGTTTCTTTCTGGAAATGAAAACTGAATGGAGGGAGGTAGCTGGGGCAGGGCATTAGGGTAGCCAGATGGAAGAGAGCGTTTGGCCGGTGAATTTTTCTCACCCCAGATGACATGGCAAATGGCTCTTACTGTCAAAAATCCAGAAATCCTGTTTTCTGGTTTCTTGCATCTGTTTACCCTGGATGAAAAAGAAAGATATTAAAGGAAGATGTGAGCTTTTTTTTTCTTTTCTGTTTTTCTTGTCAGGTCCTGTTCCAATCATCATAGGAGTCTTGATTTCTATCTTGATATTGATCATAACTGTAGTGGCTTTTTGCTGCTATAAATGGAGAGCCAGGCTTGTTCCATTAAAGCAGACCATAATTACATCAAATAAAACCCAACCGTACAGGTGAATATTTATAATATAGTGGTAACCTATGTGTGATGTAGTGGATACAGTGATGGGCTAGGAGCTGCGTTTGGATCTTTGGTCAACCATGGAAACTCACTGGGTGGTGGAAGTGATAGAACCATTCTTTAAATATTTGACGTATCTTGAACGTCCTATTAGGGTCACTGTAAGCTGGTTTTGATTTGAGGGCACGTAACACTCACATAAATTTTCATTTTCCACAGGCATGAGACTAGATGGGATGTTGCCTGTAGCTGCCCCTCCACACACTTACATGCTACTCATATTTCTTACACAAAGGGCAGGATGGTACCGAAGCACTGATAATTCCTTTCTTGCATCCATAACTATGGGCATTTATATATTGGGAGGAAAAAAGCAAAATTAATCAAAAATCACTAATCTGTTGATTCATATTTGTATGAATCGGTGCCCCCAGCAAATACGAATCAATGCATTTTAGCAATTTTTGATTTGTGGGAATATAAAATTCTCTCCCACCCACCAAACACTTAGAGACACCAAAGTTGAAAAGACATTTCCCCTGACTCTCCTCTACAGGCCCTCCAGGCTTGGTGAAGATTGGATTTTGGAAGAGGTTGTCATTTTGGTTTCTCTAGGTGCTTTGGGGAGCATTTTATAAGGTTTTAAAGAGAGAGAAAAAGAATTGATGAATCAATCCATTAGGAAAAAAACATAAATTTGTAATTTGTGATTTATTGATATTGATGAATCACAAATCAAAATGAATCACCAATTTTCTGATTCATGCCCATCTCTAATCTAGATGTATCTGGAGTAATCAATACCTATATGAGAGTCTGGATTATTGCAGCTCATGTAGCCACTGTGTTGATCTCTTGTATCCCTCTTGCTCACCCACATGACATATTCCTTTCTAGTTCATGTCTAGTTTACACTCTTTAGGTTTGTTTGTATGGGGCCCCTTAAGTGTAATAGGAACTGTTAAATGGATATATGGATAAGCAGTCACAGTCATAGAAATAACTTGTGAAATAGAAATAGATTCTAGTTTTCTTTTCTTCTGAAACAGTGCTCCTCCTCCCATTCAGAATGCTGCAAATGGCCATGCCAATCCAGCCTTCAAACTGAAAACCCCTCAGGACCAGAGAAAGGTACATAGGACAGGTTGTAATTGCAGTGCTATGGAATAATGCCTGATCTTTTCCTTCTCTTTAACTCTTATTTGATTCTGATCCATACTGATAATCCCTTGGCATTATAGTATGTGGTCCACAGATAGAACATAGAGGTTTCTCCTCTCATGTTGTTAAAACATAGGACATAAAAGATTATTTGGAAGACATCTGGGTGTGTTTGTTGTGGTTGTTTTTTTTTTTTTGAAGGTCCTTTCTCTCACTGTAGTTGTTTGATAGGAGAAGGTATCTCCATGTTTCTCCAACCTCCCAGAATTCTCCAAAAATTTCCCCACGAAGAATTCTGAGAGTTTCAGCCCATAAGCACAAATCTTATAGAACCCTAGAATTTGCTTCTCCTCCCAGAGGGGGCCTTATCTCTGGCATTGCATCAGATTCTCCAGCTTTTGCTTTGTGTTCTTAATTTTGTTTATAATAGAAAGCCAGTGTGGTGCTTTCTGAGAGTCATAGTTCTTTGGGAGGTGCCCTCTGTAAAACCTAAAGGGCAGCAAGACTGCAATTCCCTGTGTCCTCCATACTCAGAAGGGCCTGGCCTCCACTGGTTGGTCACAGGTTTGCTCTAGCTGCCACTTAAAACTGGATTTAGCCTTTTGGGTTGGATCTGGGATCTGTTTTCTTTATTCAGCTCATAGATAGCATATATATCTGATAGCGTGCCCTCCCCCCCCAAGGCTCCAGTACTGCATTGGCTACTCTGGGGAGGAGGGTATGGAAATATCTACAACTACGAGCCATTTGTTCTTATTTAAAACCATATCCAACCCGTGTCAGCCCTTGTATTTGGTCCCCTGAAGTCTGTAAGAAAGAGCTCTCTAAACCGTAGAAAACAGAGCAGCAGTCTGAGAAATAATCACCAGCAACCTTATGCTGTTTTCATCTCTGCTATTGGCATTACCACAGATCCCTCCTGTTTCTGAAGTGCATTACTACGAGCCACCTCCGGAGATCAAACTCCATGTCCACCCACCCGCTTTCCCAAATAACTATACAAGGAAACCACCTCTCCTGCAGCATCAGAGCGAGGTGAAGGGCATCCCAAAGCGGACTCCACCAAACCGGCCAGCACCTCCAGCTCCCAAAGGCATTGTGCCACAGGTGAGAATGTGTACCTCACCAGAAAACCCTTCTCAGAGTTGCAATTGCTTTGGTCACTTGTAGAGAACTGAGTGGTTGTATGACTTCCAGGTGCCTCAAAGCTGGGCAACACTGCTAGTAAAACAGTCAGTGGGCACTGATGTAACTTCAGTATGGATATGGCTGTTTTAACATTTAGCTATATCCATACCTGTTTTACCTGAATGCTAAAACTGGCATATAAAGAATACCTGCAGCACTGGTCATTCTTGTCCTCTGCCGGTCAGTTACGTGAGTACTGAACTGTTCAGCGGACTGTGTTGGTGTACTGCTCCCTCTGCCCTAGTGCAAGGACACTGTGTACAGACATTGTTTTCCCTGCAGGGGGAGGCCTTGCTTTAGTTTTCATACTTAAATATGGGTGGCTTCTGCCCTGTTGCAGTATACAGAGGAGATGAATCCACACCGATCCTGATACAACAGTTGCAAAGACCACTCTCCTCTTCCCAGCCATCTTCTTCTGTGCCTCACTCTAGGCTCCTAGGCCCTGCCAAACAGTCCCTGACAAAAATCTCATGTTTAAAGTGCCATGTGTCACTGCATTCCCCTTTGAACCCTGACTGATCCTGATACAACAGTTGCAAACACCACTCTCCTCTTCCCAGCCATCTTCTTACTTCTGTGTCTCACTCTAGGCTCCTAGGCCTTGCCAAACAGTCCCTGACCAAAATCTCATGTTTAAAGTGCCACGTGTCACTGCATTCCCCTTTGAACCCTGACTTTACTCCCAAGTTTCTGAACTAGAATATAACCCAGAATGATCATCTCCTTTGGTCCTCACACTCAGCATGTGCAGCAACTTAGTCTGCAGGGCCAGCCCTACTGTCAGGTGGAGTGAGGCGGCCACCTCAGGTGGCAGATTTAGGGCAACATGAAAGGAGGGCAAATTCATTGTTGAGCTTGTTGTTGCTGCATTTCTCCTGTTGCCCATGGAGAGAGTTGCCTTGCAACTTTTTCCCCATAGGTGCTAAAATGTCTTGTTTACCTTTGGGCACAATGTACCTTGTTTTTGTGGTTGGGATAGATTTCATTTGCTGCTCTTCCCTCCAAATGCATCAACCTAGTAAATTAATATGAGACAGACACTGGGGTAAGAGGAAAGAATTGTCTAAAGTGGTGGTTCTCAACCTTGGTAACTCAGGTATTCTTGGAGTGCAATTCCCAGAAACCCTGGCCAGTACAACTAGTAGGGGAGGTTTCTGGGAACTGCAATCCAAGAATTATTGGGTTACCCAAAGTTGGGAACCACTGGCCTAAGGGATCACAGAGACTTATTTCCATTCTGGAATCTCCTGCTGTTCACTTTACAATGGCTGTGTGGCATTGCCTTCTTCTGCGACTGGATCACTGTCATGTTTACATATTTGGGTTTGGAACCTAAGAAGAGCCCTGTTAATCTTGCCTTAGGATTTCTCCAGGCCACGACCCCCTCAGAAAGCTCTTCCTGCTAATCCAATCCCTACAAGCGCCAGGACTGCACTGCCCAAGATAAATGATACAGCAGGAGTAGCACCCCAAGGTACTGCAAGAAGTGTCAGAGGGCATCAGATCCTGACTGAGGTGAGACATAGATGTATAAGATGATATGTGGGTTAGAGAAGCATGAAACAAAACATTATTCGTAGACAATGTGATGGGCATGCGTCCCCTGAAATAGTGCAAGGAAGCTTTTAACCAGCAGTGATTTGCCATGGCTGATAACATCATTTCTGTTGTGCATGCCAAGAGGCTCAACAGGAATTCAGCCATAAAGTCACAGTATAAAAACACTATTAAATTACTTATTGTATTACATCAGCACAGAATCAACAATTATAAAATCCTTTAAAAAACACAGCCCAAAAAGTACGACCCAGCATTGGGTTTTTCTTCCTCAGTCAGTCAGTTGCCAAAAGTCTGTCTTTTACCAAAAAAAGAGAGAAAGTTTTCCTGCATGCACAAGCATGAGAAGACCTGGTGAGCTCCTGTGGCAGGAAGTTCCACAGCCCAGGGAAGCGCTGAGAATAAATAAATAAATTCAGCCATTGATTTGTGAGCATCCAATAATATAACTCTTTGGACAGTTCACAGAGACCTTAGAATAGCTCAGAGATAAATGGAATATGAAATATCATTTTGCAACTGTAGTATAAGTCTGCTAGAAATTATTGTTTCCTGGTATTTTTAATATTACAGTCAAGAGATAGTATGTATAGTTGTTGTGGGTTTTTTGGGCTCTTTGGCCGTGTTCTGAAGGTTGTTCTTCCTAATGTTTCACCAGTCTCTGGAGAAACGTTAGAAAGAACAACCTTCAGAACAGGGCCAACACAACAACCATTTAATCAATCAATCAATCAATTATTTATTTATTTATTTATTTATTTGATTTATACCATGTCCATCTGGTCTATACAACCACTTTAGAATCCGGCCGTGAAAGCCTTCGCGAATACATAGTATGTATACCTTGTTTTCATGAACTCCATAGTTGACTGAAGATGGCTTATGAGTTACCCAGAACCTTTCAAAAGAATATAAAGTATGTTATACTGAGATCCTTGGCACTCTCACTTTGAGGTCATGTTATATCTTATTTATTTATTTATTTATTAAATTTATACACTGCCCATCTAGACCAAAGTCTACTCTAGGCGGCTAACAATAATAGATAAAATAAAACAATATCATAAAATACAAAACGACAGTAGTAATATTGCTCAAGATGGGAAAAAATATTCAAGTGATGACAGGAGGGAAAGCCTGCTTAAAGAGCCAGGTCTTAAGTTTGCTCTTGAAAACACCCAGCAAGGGAGCCAGACAGATCTCTGGGGGCAGACTGTTCCAAAGGCGAGGGGCCACTGCTGAGAAGGCCCGGTGCCCCTGCTGTTACCTCAGGGCTCATGGGATCTTCTCCACTTTGCGCCATAAGAAAAGGTTTTTCAATTATTATGTAAACTGAAAATAGTTACAAGAGCCTGTGGTCAAAATCCTGCTAGTTAAGCCCATCAGCTCAAAGCAACTGGTCTAAGTCTCCGCAGGGAATTGGTGCAACTTGAAAAGTCAGTGTAGGCATTTCCCGAGTCTTGGCTTGAAAAGAAGATGTCTGCATCGACATCTTAACTTGTGGCATTTTAACAAAGGGATTTATGGCATTTGTGTTTTGCTGGTGTAAAAGGACAATAGGATCTTGGCTTATAAATGTGTCTGCTTTTAAAAGATATTATTCTGATCTATTGTCCCACCCAGGTTCAATACATCTTTTGCTTTTTTCTTATTCCAGAATGCAATCATCAAGAATGCTGGAGCAGTGAACACCCTGAAATTTAGAAGCTGAGCTTCATTTTACAATTTTTAAATCCACACCAGTTTCCTTCTTGTTCGACCTGGGACTTCCCATGGGTTTTGTCTCCAGTAAGATGACATGTGGGCCATGTACAATTCTCAAATTACTGTATCCCATCTCATATAGCTCACTGAGGCTGATACCAGGGCTGGTTTTAGCAAGCGTATCTACCATTTGTGGCACAGGTAGCTGCAGTTTTGCTGGAAATCAGTACACATCAGAGTTAAAGTGACCTAGTTTGCCTTTTTTCCCCCTTTTAAAAAGGCAATTACTGTACATATTATAGTGCAATACAGTGTGCTGAAATGAGAGAGGGAGAGGTCTCAGTTCTCTCCCAGTATTATCTCAACAAACAACAAAACTGATTTTAACCAACATTTCATTGTGAGCCAGCACATTCTTCTCATTTCCCACAACACCTGTGTACTTTTACCAGAATCACAGAGCTGTAAGAAGATTGCTATTGTGGCGCCCCTGCTGTTACCTTAGGGCTCATGGTATCTTCTCCACTTTGCGCTATAAGAAAAGGTTTTTCAATCTTGCTGAATTTTGCCATGTGACTGGAAGAGAGGTTTCCCTCAACCTTTATTAAGGAATTATCCAGAGTTCAGTGCTTACAACTTGTCTTTGACCTCTTGTGAAACCTTTTGTTCTTCTACATGTCACATCAACGTCTTTCGCCCAAAACGTTCCTGATGGTGGCTTTCTGGATCTGAAAGCATCAGTGATGTAAGAGCACTCTTCATTCATCTCCCATACTTCTATGACATCTACTCAGCTCTGCTAGCATTTGCTGTCTTCACAACAGGTCTTTGTCCAGCTGTACTGAAGGCTGGAGAGCTTTTGTGTGGTGACATGCAATTTGCCTTAACCTCCAAGGACCTGCCATTTCTTGAGCCCCCTGTGTTGGTGTCCAGCTGTCCCTTTCTCTGCCATTTCAACCATTGCTGTTGGCTTCTATTTAGACTAGACTTCTGCCATGTCCTGTCTGGCAAATGATGAGGTCAGCAACAATGGAATGAAGGAGACCTCTCTGTCACAAATGTATATGATCATCATGTGTTCCTTATACACATGTTGACTTTTTTCTGCTCTGATATCCAATCAGGTGAACATATGGGCCTCTAGATGTTTTGGACATCACGTGTCAGATGATCCAGCTAGAGTGGACAGTGGTAAGGAATTATGAGTGTTTTCATCCAAAACATCTGGAGGACCAAATTTTCTCCCCCCCCAGTGTAGGATGTAGTTCATAAACCACCATTACATTCAGTGTGAGCACTCAGCCTGATCCATATGAGATTTTTGTAACCACATACTTAAAGCACATGCATTTTCCCCCCATACATGGAAATTATATCCACATGCAAATATTTTTCATGTAAGAAACAGGAGAGCAGATGAATCATATGGGCTCCTTGTCATTTTAGTTTTGGATCTGTGCCAGTTTAAATGATCTTTAAAATGAACTGCCAAACAAAACATACCAATCAGCCAAATATTAGCAAGGCACTATGAAGGAGTCATAATTGATTGCATTTAACTATAAGTTCTGCCACACATTATTTTGTTTATATAATCCAGACACTTAAGTTAGGTATTTTTGTATTTGTCTTTCATTTGGATTGGGCACAGTCATTCAGGAAGTTTACTCAATAATTTGTCTCAGGGTAACTGCACCTTTGCATCCTGCTCTTCATTGTTGCAATTTTATACTTGGCAATGGTTGATAGCTGGTGTACCTTAGCCATAACCTAGAATTAATACCAACTGGTTAAGTTTCAGTGATCAGTATTGTGGCTAATATGGTTGAATCTGGAGCTGCACTTGGTTAGACTTCTGCAGTATTGCACAGTTGCAGTTCTGCATGCATAAATATTCAACAGGATACTGGACAGCATAAAACCTCAGACAAGGCACTAGAAGCAAACACCATAATCCCAATATAAGGAGGAACACTATGTTGTTATCCTTTTACTAGTGTTCTTGTGCACACAGAAAGTCAGCTCAAACCCAGCAGGAATGCATAGGGCTTGAGCTGACTTTCTAGAGTGCATGTTTTAATTCATCTACCTTATCAGGGGGAGATGAATTTCGGTCAGCTCAACAGAATGTTTGCCTTAATTCATGGTGCTTTAACCATGGGGCAGCTGAACGAATTCTAACTTCCTTGCAACTAAGCAGCTAAGCACTATCACACAGACTGTGTTTTGCACTTAAATCAGTTTGGTGTTCCCAACATAGAGCTGTAATGTTGTCACTTTTGGCAGCCTAAAGTCTGAGCTGGTAAGGGGAGCATTTCACAGCCACCCACCGTCATACACACTCAGACCACAGGATGCCCCTGGTTGTTACTGATTTGAGGCTTTACAAGTATTTTCTCAGGTTTAAAGTCACTTTGTAGTGATTTGTTTGTCCTGTCAACCCCCCCGCCCCCGAATCCATGATTGTTTTGCTAAAACAGGAACTATTTTGGTTCCCACCTTGAACAGACAGGAGACTTGAATCAATAGCAAAAATATATCTAGGTGCTATTAATAGAAAGGCAGTGTGTTTGGCTGGAGGCAATATAGACTTTTTAAAAATTATACAAGCTTCTATGTCAGCCTTGGTCATCTTCTTTCAAGAGGGGACCCAACAGTAGTATAGAGAGACCACCTGGGAAACAAAGACCATGGTTTCAGAAATATGTTCCAACCTGTAGATCAGGAGCTATTGGTTCAATAACTTTGCAATTGTGAAAGGGTGTCTTAACTTTGTACTTGTGTTACAGTATGATTCTTATGATTTCTTTTGAGCATCTATGACCATTTCCCCTCCTGATCCTGATTCTCAGGTTGTGCTCATTCCTTCCTTACCACATTTCAGTGCTAGTTTTAAAACCAAGCCAAATAGTCGTTTGAGATACGATTATCAAAGAGTTTTCTATCCTTTTTTAATTGAAAATATTCGGAAGGAAAGGTTGTGTGTGCACGTTAGCTGCCACTTACTTTGAAACAGAAAATGTCTGAAACAAGAATGCACAGTAAACTCTGAAGATGATCTATGTCCTGAAGACTCAGGTGCTGTTAGGGTAATGGGATCAGTAATCAGTGACTCAGAACTGTGACAGGGGAAGATGCAACAGATTTTGTTTTAATGTGTCATTGATGAGCCTTGCCTCCACTGGTTTCATGAAAACCCAGGTTTAGGCCATATCAGAATATACCAAAGAACAATGGTGTACAGTCCCAAAGAGAATATTTAGAGCTGGATTACAGGATTGCCAAGTCTCAAAAGGGACTTTCTTAAAAATTCCACAATGAAAAAAAAATATAATTTACTTCCCCCTCTGCCCTGCAGCAGAAATATGGCTAAATATTCTTTTACCCCATCTGGTATGATGTGGAACTAAAGGGACCTTGTGTATGGCAAGAGATGAAAGAGAAGGATGGTTGTCCCAGCACTGCTGGACCTTGGAGGGAACTCAGACTGGTAGAATTTCCTCTCCATATAGATCTTCTGGGACAACTAAGAATTGACAACCTTAAATTAAGTGTGTTTACTCCTGTGTATGTAGAAAGAATGCATTGGGAAAAAAACATTAAATTAGGCTGCAAATCTATGCACATTTGCTTAGGAGTGAAATCCACTGAATAACTTGGGACTTCCCTTCAAAGGAAAAAAAAAGCATAGGATTGCACTGACTGATTTTGATTTTTATTATTTTGGGAGAGCCTAGGCACCATGTGCTACCGTTTTATGTCTCACAGGTTTACAGTACAATCTCTGTGCATCTATGCAAATACTTGAATAATGCTGTTTGTTGTGCCTTTTGCCTAGTTATATTTAATAAAATTTGTGGTTATTATTGCTGTATTCACTTAACAAATCTTTGTTGGGAGTTGGCGTTCCTACTAATTGTAGGCTGTGCAATTTGTTAAGCAGGTAATCCTCATGAGTGAAATACAAGGGATCATTGCAAATTTCTTCCCCCAAAATCTCTGGAGCAAACTAATCCCAGTCATTTATTTCCCACTGCTAGAAGAGAGTACTGCTCTTTTTTTTTGGGGGGGGGGAAGGTGTTGCAGGTGAGAGACTGATAGTATACGTTATGCACAGCAATCAAAAGAGGAACACAGAACAAATCACGTTTGAGTTTCTATACAAAGATTTGTATTCTCCTTCTCCAAGTATACACGAACAGTATCAAAATGCCAAATCAAACCAGAGCAACAAATTCCTGTCACTCCATCAACATTATTTACAAAGTTTCACTGTTCTTGTTTCATTGTTGGATACAGTAACAAGGATCCTAGGAGTTTTTAAAGCCTTTAAAGGGAGTTTTTAAAAACATAACAAGGAGGCACAGACATATGCCACAGATGTGTAGTCACTGCTCTCTCAACTGAGCTCGGAAACATAACGTGCTTTGTAAGATCTATTTGGGCACATCTTGGATTCATCTTCTCCCCTCTTAGCCAATGAAATAGTCTCCATGAGCTACAGAAGATAGCAGGCACATCAAAGCTATGTTTTCTAACTGCTACTGTCTAGTGACACCTCCTGGACCAGATGGGGAAGGCTCATCCTGAAATGAGTGCCCCCCCCATTGAGTCCACAAACCACCCATGCTACCACTTCCAACTTGACTACTTTACAACTCCCTAAGATCCCCTTGTCAACCTTCCCACCAATATTCTATCTCCATGCAAATAACATGCAGCAGAGCAAAGGATATGTTTGTGATTGCTAGGGTTGAAGTGCACTCGCTGTCTGTTAAGGTCAGAACAGGGCCAGGCTGGTTCCATCTGACCCAATCAACACTCCAAGTTCCCCCTCTGCTTTATATTTGGCTGCACCAGTCTCTGTAGCTCCTTTGTGTCGAGGCAGATGCTGTGCATGGTCTTGACAGAAACGGCTCCTCAAGATGGCAGGCCGCTGTTGTACCTCAGTGTGGTTTGCCAGCAGAGAATAGAAGCTTTTACTATTAGACCATTAGACTAAAATATCAAGTGTCAAATGCTGTATTTATCCTGTAAGACTTTCAGTTTAGAAACACATCATTTTTTCATGCCACCGTAAAACACATGTCACAATAACTCTGAAGCATGAATATCAGGAAACATCAGTGACTTTTGTCATGGAAATGAAGCAAAAAAAATACCAGGAAACATCAGAGTTGTGACTTTTGTCATGGAAATGAAGCAAAAAGAGTGAGTGCAGAGCAGAAGAATGCTAGCACAGAATTGCAATTACGGAAGAGGAAGTGGTTCATTGCAGTGACATGACATAAGACAAAGTAAACTTGAGGGTCACCTACATATTCAACACGGTATCCTAACAATATGGGCTTCTTTATCTTTTTTTAAAACCTACAGCTTGAAACAAGAAGAGAAACTCTCAGAAACGGACAACTCTTTGTATCACTTAGTGGCAAAATTAAAAAGCCAATGGGAAGGCAGGAATAGAACTAAACTTGTTTTGCTTCCTCTTCGCATGCATGACTTCTTTGTGCCTGTTCCAGCTAACCAAAGGTTATCAGGGCCAGCCCCTGTCAAACTTCCTTTTAAAGACCCATGTGCAGCTACTATAGAATATGCATTGGGGTAAATCCTACAACAGCAAACAAATAGAATAAATATAAGTTTCCAATAACCTGCATGACTGCACCTGAAATCTATGTTCTGTTGGTTCAGAGTAGTAGAACACAGGATCTGAACATGTAGTGGTTTTGTAAATTTTAACAGGCAATGGGAGGTGGGGAGTGTGAATGTGAAAAATAGGCTTCTGAACGAGGAGGTACATATAAACAAGACACAAAAATGGAACACCTCCTGCTTATTTCAACAGACTCTGTGTTTGGAAGGAGTCCAGAATTTTATTATTTAAGATAATGGTACAGACATTTTATGATTTGATCGTGCAGGCTAAGAGAAAAGTATTTAGCTGACTGAGAAAGGGTGACAATCATTTGGGAATCTAGAGGTAATCCTGGGAGGCAAATCCTGATGCATTCAATTGTCATCACACCATAAATTTTAGATTTTGATACTCTTGGTCCCAGTTTACACTGCTGTGATCATAACCGGAATCCAATCTGTACAGAAAGGTATTCAACTTGACTATACATCTTGGTAGAATTAACAGGTCATACACATTAGGAAACATTATTTCTCATCCTTGACTTACAGGAGGTGTATGCAAACACATATGGCCCCAACTTACATATCTTTCTAATAAGAAATGAAGTCTTATATTTTAGGTTTAACCTCACCTTTAAAATGTGGCATAACATGGTCTCCAAAGAAACCATCATGGGATAGCATAGTTGTTCTGTTACTTAATGGACACAGTGATGGGGGGGCACACTGGTGTTCAGAAAGCCTGGGATATTCCTCCAGTACCATTGGAACCAAAAAAACCCCTCCACATTGTGGGACACCTGTACTTTGGTGTCAGCTCCTGCTTCATAAGGGTTGGTGCTATCTTTCAGGGGAAGGAGCTGCATGGCGGCAACTTGTATGCAGTCCAAGGCTTCTCAGCAGGTAGCACTTATGCTTATAAACTAAGTATTTACCCCACGTACACAGGTTTATAATCTGCTGAAAAGCAGCTGGCATCAGCACCTACACACATAACGAAGGCAGAAGAAAGGGTAGCCATGTGATCCAATTTTCTTGTTCCATAACAAGGGTGATGGAACAAGGGTTATGGAACAACAAACACCAACAGAGCATGGACAGGGTTCCTACTCCAGTCCTCTGAAGATGCCGGCCACAGAGACTGGCGAAACGTCAGGAAGAACAACCTTCAGAACACGGCCAAAGAGCCCAAAAAACCCACAGCAACCGGTAGCCATGTTAGTTTGTGCAAGCATTATAAGAAGTAAAAACAAAATAAACTTGTCTGATGAAATGGAATTGCCCACAAAAGCTCACATTAAAACATACAAAAGTTAGTCTTTAAGGTGCCACTCCATTTTTGTCTGTTACTTTTATTTTGTTTTTACATATAATACTGAAGACAGACTGAAGACTATCAGTAATGAATGGCTGTCTAATGCCTTGGGATTAGATTGATAACCCTATAAAAGACCAACACAATCACAACTAGCTCTTTGTCTCATGAGATTTATGAATGGCCATGGAATGTTTTTCATCATTTTGTGACTATTCCATACACATTATGAAACAAGAAAATTGGATCACATCATCTCTTGATATTAACTGAAATGGAAATATGACCTTTGTCTCATGAGAGATTTTATGAATGGCCATGGAATGTCTTTCACCATTTTGTGACTATTCCATACACATTTATTATGGAGCAAGAAAATTGGATCACATCATCTCTTGATATTAACTGAAATGGAAATATGACTACTACTGTATCAAAGAATGTAGCATCATCAATAATGCTAGGGTAGCTGTTTTACCTTATGGGAAGCCGCAAAAGATACAAAAGCTTGACATATACATGCAGAATACACATGTGTCATAGCACTTTCTGGATCCTACCATTCAGTAATACACGTGAGTCAATCAAATGGCTGAATTCTCTACAGCCCACAGTTTTTAACTCTTATGCTATAAAAGCAGTATATTTTGTAGAAAAACAACACCCTCAATGTAGTTAGTTCCTTAGAAAAAGAAATATTCTCCACAGCACTTTCATTTAAGAATTATGTACTCTGGATTGCAAAAAAAATGCACATTGGCATTCTTTGATGCTTCAGATTTCATGAACTTCACATGTTCATAATCTTCTTGGGCTAACCATAGCACTTTCTGGATCTTACTATTCAGTAATACACGTGAGTGTCTGAATGCTCTACTGCCCACAGTTTTTAACTCTTACGCTATAAAAGCAGTGTATTTTGTAGAAAAACAATACCCTCAATGTAGTTAGTTCCTTACAAAAAGAAACACATCATTAAGAATGATGTACTATGGGTTGGAAAAAAATACACATTGGCATTCTTTGAAGCTTCAGATTTCATGAATTTCACATGTTCATAATCTTCTTGGGCTAACAATACTCAGACATAGTCTTTCTTCATGCCGTTAGCAGAAGACCACCTTAAATTAAGATTTGGAAGTAACGGGAAAACCAACCAGTTGGAACCAAATTTCTTCAAATCATCAAGGTAGAGCTGTTTGAGACGGGCACTCATGACAGCCATGGCAATTTAATATAGAGTATAAAATGTGCTTTGTTGTTCCAAGGATGGAAAGAGGCACACTCATGACAGCAACAGGAATTTAATATAGAGTGCAGAATGTGCTTTGTTGTTCCAAGGATGGAAAGAAGGAATCACTGTATAGAAACTGGAAGGAAGGCAGCTCATTGTGTTGAAGCTGGTTTCCATTTTCTGAAGCACAAGGAAACATTTCATATCATGCATAGTCTTGGTCACAGATATAGATCCCTTAATGTTTTAGTCCCAGTCCCTGTGGCTCCAGGGTTTATTTTAAGTTTCAACTGTAGATCATAAATACTTTTGGCTTGCTATCATCCTTGGCATCTGGACCATCCAGCTCTATCAGGATGTTCTTGTCATCCTTAACCACTGGAGCCTCGTCGCAGTTCTGAAGTGTTTGTGGCAGGGTCCTCAAGCTGATGTCCATATCTTTGAAGGCGTTGAGTAAAAACACTCCTAAAATAATGATAAGGAATCCACATATTGTCCCAATAATGTCCACTACAGACATGGTGACCCACTCTTTAAAGAGGATGACAGATGTTGTGATGACAATGGTGGTGAACAGCACATAGTAGATGGGAAAAACCATGGAGGTACTGAAAATGTCCAGAGCCTTATTGAGGTAGTTGACTTGTGTAGTGAGAGAGGCCACTAACGTAAGAACAAGGATCCAAGTCAGTGGGTCCTGCAGAACAGGCTGATGAGCAAAAAAGCCCTTGATGGCAATGCCCAGCCCTTTGACTGAAGACACGGAAAAAGCCCCAATCAGAGAGCAGATGGTGAGGTAGACAAGGATATTCGTCTGGCCGTAACGTGGTGCTACAAAGAAGATCAGAACCAGGCAGATCACCAATAGAATGCTAGCATAAACAAGGAAACCTGGAAGATGTAAAACAAGAGGGGAGAGTTAGTTCACATTGGGGAGTAGACAACATGTCTCTGTGGCAAAACATCTGTTCTTTAGGCTGCACATGCCAGGTTCAATGCCTGGGATCTTTAGACAGGAAGGAATCCTAGCTAAAACTCTGGGGAGGCACTGTTATTCAGTGCTGACAACACTTAATTGTGGGATTGACTAAGAGTCTGACTTAGTATAAGGCAGTTTTCTGTGTGGTGGTAGCTGTATAGAACAGAACACACTTTTTATTGGCATGCTATTAGTAATGAATGAGTTTGTTTTAAGGCACTAGTGCAGTAGTGCACTATTTAAAAAAATCTTTGGTGGTTTTATGTTGCCACGAAGACTACGGCACACAGCACACAACAGGAACATACGGGCAAAGGGCAAGAACAAAAGATTTACAACAAAAGCACTACAAAAAGATTTCTATAAATGGAATATTTTCCCTTGACTTTAAGTGCAGCCTAGATCCCAAAAATCTGATTTAAACTCTAGGTTTAGACAGAAACTTGGAGATGGGGCTTGATAGGGTTTCAGGGGAACACGGTCTCCCACAAAAGAGCAGCACGAGTGTACAGACCTTCCATCTAAGAGCACTGAAGCACGGGTACAAATACCACAATAGCCCCCATCTTGTGAAAGCAAATTCTGATAGCCATCAAAGGTGGTGCAAGATATATTCTTGCCTGAAACAGAGGAAATTGTGGTATTTCTTTTGTTCCAGATACAAAATCTGATCAAACTGGCAGTTGACTCTGTCCTCAGCACCAGTGGCAGCGCCCTACACAGACAAATACCACTGGACAGACACAGAGGGCCCTCCCAGAAGGGCACAGGCCTTTCCTACAAATGTTAAAAATTCATTCTCCTTCAATTATCTCCTGCAAGCATGGTATTTCATCTTCCACTGATACTCCCTGCCATAGATTCTTCATCAGTGACCTTTGACCAAACTAATGTTGCACAGTTTTAAGAGTCTGAGAATTCAAATGTCCTCTTTGAAAAAAAATCTGCTTTTTGTTTCTACTATGGTGCGATCCAAGTTCTCTTTGACACAGTGATTAGGGGATGTGAGTTACAATGTTGGAAAACTCTGCTCTAGAACAGCATAGTGTACATAGGACACAAATTAGGTTGCATGGCATACACTGCTGGGGCTGCTCCTTACCTCCCAGACTCACCTGTTGACTAAGGCAGTCAGTTGGGTGAACAGAATGGCAAACCCTGAAAGCTACCTCACTACCACCATCACATTTGCAACTAAGTCCCAGATGCATTGAAGTTCCAGTGATGAAATGCTCATCTTTCCAATTATTATTATAACAATGATATTAACAATATTGCCTATTATTTATTACCTAAAAAGCCCTGTGCCGCTTGGGTTCAGGCTATTTGAAGGATCATATAATATTGCCTGGGTTCAGGCTATTTGAAGGATCATATCATTCCATACAAGCCTTCCCAGCTTTAAAGACTTTCTCGGGAGGCTCTTCTCTCAGTTCCACCACATTCACAAGCTGGTTTGGTGGAGATGCGAGAGAGGGCCCTCCCGATGGCTGCTTCCAGGCTTTGGAATGCACTTACTGTAGTGCCCTCTTTCCTGTCCTTCTGTCATCATGGGGATGCGAGAGAGGGCCCTCCCAATGGCTGCTCCCAGGCTTTGGAATGCACTTAGTGCCCTCTTTCCTGTCCTTCTGTCATCAGGCAAAGACTTTCCTTTTCAGGTAGATTTTTAAGCAAGAAGTGAGGGTTTCAGGAATGCTATATTTAGGAAAGAGATTTTAATTTTTTAAAAAAATAATCTTGGTTTTAATATCTGTTTCCCCGAAAATAAGACCTAACCTGAAAATAAGCCCTAGTAGGATTTTCAGGATGCTCGTAATATAATCCCTACCCCAAAAATAAGCCCCATTTAAGTGAAACCCTGCCCTCCACCATTGTGCAGCAACCAGAAGATATGACTATTCGAATAAATGTAGATTGTTGGACATGAAAAAAATAAACATCCTCTGAAAATAAGCCCTAATGTGTTTTTTTGAGCAAAAAATAATATAAGACCCTGTCTTATTTTTGGGGAAACAGGGTATTGGCTAATGTTTCTTTCTTTTTTTGACTTAGATTTTTAAATGATAGTTTAAAACTGTGAGTCTTGTTATTGTTTTGATGATTGTGAGCTGCTTGGCTCCCCATGAAGAGAATGCAAACCAACCAACAAGCAAACGATCCTGTGCTGCCTCATGGTTACCTGGCTCTTTCAGTTTAGAAGCCATTTCATTCAGAGTGGTGACTTCCTCTTCCTCTGGAGCATGAATCACGAGGACAGTGCTACCCAGAATGCTTAGCATGCAACCCAGTTTGCCCAGGAGGTTCAGCCGCTCTCCAAGCAGATAGGACGACAAAATGGCACTATGTGTAGGAGAAAAATGATTACAAATTCAGAATAAAATAATCTCAAGAGAGAAGGGCAAAAGGGGTCTGATTAGGAACAGATTCATGGAATTTCAGAAACTTTATTTCAGAGAGACAGAGTTTCAAATACAAATAAAGCATCTGTTTTGTCAAAATAGGAAACCAGTCATTTAACTATTCCTGTGTGTTCCTGGGTGGGGAGAGGCTTATTTGGTCCAAATCAATGCCAATAATACAGTATGCCACATTTTATTAATGATGTATTCTAGAGGAAAGAGTTTTATCAATATCTGGCAGTAAGAATGGAAGAAAAGAAAAAAGAAACAAAGGTGTGCCTTTAAATAAAGGGTGGGCATAACATTCTTGCCCTACAATAAAGGGTGGGCATAACATTGTTGCCTTAATACCCACCACAAGCCTGACTGGGCACAGAAATGGCTGTAAACAGCCATTAAACAACACATTTGGGCTTCTTTGTAGGGACCTGCTCAAGGCCTCTGAGCTGAAAACCACTGCTCCTGAAGGCTTCCAAGAGTGGAAATAAATCTTTCTGGCCAACATCATTTGGGAAGGAGGTGCACAAGGTGGGGGGGAGGGGTCTTGAGGCTGCAAAATCCTCTTGGGATTTTGAACAGAAGTTGCTTCAGGTTCCAATTATGGCATTACAAGCTCTGCTTTTCTGAAAAACAACAAGGCTGAAGCAAATACTTGGCTATCAGTTTTCCAGGACAATGTTATCAAGCCGTATTTCTGTTTGCATGGCAAGTCACATTCCTACTACGTGGAGACTTCCAGATCTAGAATAAATATGGGAGGACAGAGTAAAAATGAAGGCTCACCTTATTAGCACACTCAGTGCTCCGAGTGGAGTAACGATTGTGGCAGGTGCAAAGACATAAGCAGCAAAGTTGGCGGCTTCTCCCCCACCCACTGCACAAACAGACAAAGATAAACAACACACAAGCAAATTACTACATATTACTCTTGCTAGGAGATTTGTAGCCAGCGTTGTCTCCATTCAGGGTGGCAAAGCCCAGAGAAGGGAGGTGTTGTGTACTTGGTTCTTCTGACAAGCAAAAGCATCTTGGAGTGGGATGTGTATGTAAGACCCAATAAGGGCACACAGAAAAGTACCAAGGAGAATCAAAGATCTAAAGATAAAAATCCAAGCCCAAGATGGACAGATGTCTTGTACAACTTTGCAAAATGTACCACATTCCAGTCACAGGGCCTCCAGCATTTCCACTCTGGGAATGGAGTCTCGTTCACAATACTGATTCCAAACAGGTAATGCTGCTTAGGGAGAGCTGGTAATGTTGGACAGGTACCCAAGGGCCAGTGGTTCATCTCACCCGCAGAGGATTTGCTGCAGGCGCTTGTAAAAGCAAAAGCAAAGCGTGCTGCTTATTGCTTGTAAAAGCAAAAACAAAGTGTTGCTGGCCAGCCTGACTAGGAGGATACCAGTTTAAAAAATGATGAGTAATACTGAAATATACCGCCCCATAGTGCTTCAAGCACTCTCTGGGTGGTTTACAAGTTAATTATGCAGGCTACACATTGCCCCCCCCCAGCAAGCTGGGCACTCATTTTACTGACCTCAGAAGGATAGAAGGCTGAGTCAACCTTGAGCCGGCTACCTGGGACTGAACCCCAGGTCATGAGCACAGTTTTGGCTGCAGTACAGCAGTTTAACCACTGCGCCATGAGGCTCTCATTGTAGTGGTGCTTCCTCTGCTAGCACTATTTCTAAGTTGGGGTGGGACCAGCGGACAGGCAACTGTGCCATTGTTATAGGGGCTTAGGCTGCATGATCACTGGCACTTTTTCCATGAGTCCTTTACGCCCAGAGAAAGGGAACCATTCATCCACTCAGGGTCCTGCAGCAGCAGTGGCTGGTCCTTGCCAAGGTGAAGATGGGAGGAGGCTCCTTGAAGGCTTCTGCCCATCTCCCCCTCCAAATTAGTTGAGGGTGACAAGACCTTCCCCTCCTCCTCCTCCTCCTTTACGTCTGGGTCCTCCCAACCTGTTTAAGTCTCCACACCACCCTCCAGGTGCTGCCTATCTGACTTCTCACTCCCACCTGAGGAACCACTACTCACCCTCTGCAACCTCCGGCTGCCCTGCCACTGGGGGCTCTGTGAAGTCTGTCAAGGAGCGTGGGCCTGAGGTAGATGGCTTGCGGGGGACAGCCACAGCATCCCCCTCACAAAGTACCATTACTAAGAGTTAAAATCATTTATACCAGTTTTCTACAAAACAGTGCTCTCTAGAAGGGCACCGGCCAAGAGGACAAAGAAACCAGGACTGTGTCATAAGATGCTGAAATTCAGAGGCGAGTGCAAAAACTTGCTGCTGAAAGGGCGCAAACCCATGTACCTCCAGCCTGCATACTGTCTCTACCAGCTCCTTCTGAGGCAGAAGGAAAAAGAAAACAGGTGGGTGCAGCATGGAATTCATATGGCCATTGTGCACTCAAACCCAGGTCTGTTTCTCCCGTTCTCCAGTCCTGTCATCAAAAACGCCACTCTCACATCACTCCAGCTGAACCAACAGCGCATGAAGCCCTTAGTTCCAAAATTGCTGGTTATGGTTTTGCTGGCAAGCCTGACTGGGAGGATACCAGTTTGGAAAATGATAATGTAATACTGAAAAATATTTCCAAAGAATGATCCATACATTCTAGCTCTCATGGGGAAGCCTCAAAAACATGTGCTTGTTGCTCTACACAACATCAATGCTGAAAGACAAGTTCCAAACACTTCAGCTTAAGTGTTAGGAAATTTTCAATGTAATCAGGGAAAAACCCTTTCAGATATCACAGGCCATATCATTTGCTGGCTGAGACACAGCAACAAATGGCACCCCTTATCTCCCCAAGATAAGGCCTTTACTATCTAAAGTGAAGCGAGTTAATCTGCCTCATGACACCCAAACTTCCCTGTGTGAGGCAGCTGACTCACCTTGCCTAACAGTAGGGTTGGCCTACCCTACATGAAGGACACAGTTATATGAAAATGACATTCCATTAGTAGTTGTAAGCATATGGAGCAACCCTCAGGGCACAGAGAAACAAATAATGGTACACATTGCTCATCAAGGTACAAATCCAAACTAGTGTGAATACCATACTTACTAGTGAGCAAACCGGCCCACCACAGCCAGTCTCTTAGGTAGCCATGACCTCCATCCCCTGGAAATGCAAAAAGGAACACAGGTTTAACAACTAATTAAAAAACACGTCCACATATTATCAGCTGCTATACCTAAACATTCTGATTCCATTCCAGGGGTTTTAATGGAGCAGAGAAGAGATTTAAGATTAGCAATACACAGTGGTGCAATATTAAACACTGCCTAACAACACATGCCCAACTCATCAGAATGTAAGAAGGAGGCACCAAGATACAAGGACCACAAATGTGGGCTGAAGGCCCTAGATGAAGAGATTAGATGGGCAGATCAAGAGCAAAGAAACAGAACGACCAACCCTGCAGCCCTGAAAAAGCAACTACATCTGAGTCTGTTTCAATTTGGAGGATTCTTTCATTTTGACCTGAACTACAAATATTTCTCTCTGCCTACATCGCACTTCATATACAGCCAACAAACCTATTACCCACGCTGGGAGTTGTAGTCTAACGGTGTTAAAGAGCACCCAGTTAGGAAATACAGGGTTGAAGACTAAGTAGGCAGTGGCTAGTCAGCCCTTCCAGATCTGAAATCTACCTTTAGTCAAAACATGAATTTGGAGACCCAGCCCTGAAAGCTAAATTCAACGTTAGTCTTGTTTAAGATCAGGCAAACTGAAATGAATGACACTTGTTAATTACACCCTAACATACATACTTTAACATACTCTAACGCGAGGACAATGCACTTGAGAGCAGTAAATTATTGCAGAAGATGCAGGAAAGGACATGGGTTACCCCCACTTCTGTTTTCTAATGGTGGAAATCTTGGGAAGAACACCCAAAGGACAGGCTCCTCATCTCCCACATTAGAGATTTTTTCCCCATTGCCTAATTTAGTATATTATCCGGCATAGTATAACATTCAGCTCTTTCAGAAAGCATCTTCTAATCCCACCTCTCTAGGCAAGAATAATCTCATACCTGCCCTGGTGCCTCCTTTCTCCACAAGCCGACACAGTCCTTTCTTCTTGAGGATGACACTGCTGCCAATAAGGAAGCTGGACATGATGGCCAAGGCCAAGCCAATATAGAAGCCATATTTGTTTTCTATCTGCACTGTCCAGTTACTGTTTAAGGTGAAGTTCTCATGAGGTGAGAGGGTTGAGCTAACGTTCTCCACAACCTGACAGACAGCCTGACCAGACAGGCAAGTCAGAGTGAACAATGAACCTGGAAGGACAAAAAAAAATTAAGGGAAGGGATGAGAACTGGAAATAAAGATTCAGTCAATAAGCACTGGCTTGCCACTGTCCCACCAAACCACCTTTTCAAATATTTATTTATTTTGTTCTAATTTTTATCCCTTCATTTTGATTTCTACATCCTCTGAGAACATTCAATAAATTCTTCAGAGCCATGAGACCAAGAGACAGTATGTTTTAAATGATGAAACAAGAAATCATTCTAGCAATTGTCACTCTTGCCTTTTATTTCATAATGAATTGGTACCTGTAGATGACATTAGTTGATTTTGGTCTAAGCAGGCAACAGTTCAAGCAGCTTTAATTTTTTATGCACCCGAAAGGACCAACCAGCTAAGGCTGACATCTTTTGGCAGAAACAATCCTGTGCCTTAAATTCAGTAGGATTCTTTCATCTTTGTTGGGAAAAGCTTCACACGTTGAGGAGAGTTAATTGGCAAAGATTAGCCTACTGGGTTTGTCTCTCTCATGAAAATGTTAAAAGGCAGAGACCTATTAGAGAACATAGCAAGCTCAAAAGGAGCCCATTAAAAACCAATTACAAAAGTAAAAGTTAAACACCATTTTAATTACAATGAATGTTCTATTCTAACTAATATTCCAACTAGTCAGAATCTCACTATCATATTTTAACACATAACAATTTCAATTCTGTTCCTCATTCCAGATCTTCACTAAAACAAAGAGTCTCATGTGACTTTTAAACACTGAAAACAACTTTTATCTGGGATATGCTTTCATGTACTTGAGCCCACCTTTTCCAAAGCATTATTACAGTACCACAGGAGTCTTTTTGGAATCCATAAAAATACAGGATGTGTCTTCAATTGCACTTGCCCTCTTAAAAATTTGAAATGTCTGGAATATGTTCCATGCTATTGTCAATCAATATATAGGAGGCCTAACTAATTTTCTATTTATTTCCATTTCAATCCATGGTGTAATAGTTGAATTATTCACCGAATGTTTATTTATTCAAAGTAACAATTTAGTATGCCCCAGAATAAACTGTTGGAAGTTATTCACAGAGATTTAAGGGGATAAAAACATTCTGTTTAGAGATGGGGAAGAACTGCCAAAATGGTGGTTTGTCCTGGTTGTAATAGTAAAATTATTCACCAAATGTTTATTTATTCAAAGTGACAATTTAGTATGCCCCAGAATAAACTGCTGGAAGTTATTCACAGAGATTTAAGGGAATAAAAACATTCTGTTTAGAGATGGGGATGAACTGCCAAAATGGTGGTTTGTCCTGGTTCATGATGAACCACGAATCTCCTCCCCATGAACCGATGAACTATGAATCAGAAATTATTCACCAAATGTTTATTTATTCAAAGTGACAATTTAGTATGCCCCAGAATAAACTGCTGGAAGTTATTCACAGAGATTTAAGGGAATAAAAACATTCTGTTTAGAGATGGGGATGAACTGCCAAAATGGTGGTTTGTCCTGGTTCATGATGAACCACGAATCTCCTCCCCATGAACCGATGAACTATGAATCAGTCTGGCACTGTTTCTTTTTAAGCTGATCCCCCACCCCCACAGCCTGCCCCTTTCCCACTACCTGTTGCCTCCCTACCTTGGCTGCTGCAGTCCATGCCACCGCCATCTTCTGCGGGGGGCTGTGCCATGGCAACCTTTGCAGCCACCACTCACCACCGCTTGCTGCAATGGTCTTTGTCGCTATGGCCTGCCTTAAGGGAATCCAGGCTGCGCTTTGCAAAGATGGCAGCCATAGCTTCCCTGCCTAAGAAAAGCTGTAGCCACCATCTTTGCAAAGGGCAGCCAGTGTCCCTTACAGCAGGCCATTGGCTGCAGAGGCCACGGCAGCAGGCAGCGATGGATGGCGGCGGTGCTGGATGACGGCAGCAACTAAGGTAGGGAGGGGAAAGGGGGTAGGGGAAAGGCTGTGGGGGTGGCTGGCTGCCTATGGACCCTCATAGACAAGGTGAGAAAAATGGGGCAATATTCATCTGTTCATATTCGCCGGGGTCTCTGGAACTCACAAATATGAAGGGATGCATATTTAATGAATCAGGTTTTTAATGACTATCGCAATTCGTTTTTTTTTTTAATTTGTCCCCTTGCCTAATTTTGTTCCTGTTTTAATCCTGGAGAGGTACGTCTACAATAACAAGGTTATGGCTGAAATCCTGTTGCACAGTTAGGCAAATGGCATAACCTTTAAAGGCAAATTGCTGTAAATTAAGAAATCTTCATAGACATTATTTGTTGCACACCATGTTGCGCAACTCATATGTGAAAGATAATGTGTAAAGAGACTTCTTAACTTATGGCAATTTGCTTCCAAAAGTTATGTTGCGAGAAAGGGGGCGAAAGGGGGCTACCCTCCACCCTAGTGCCATCCTCTCTACCTTGGAAAGTGGAGGGAGAGTAGTTTTCAAACCATCTCATTTGCATAGATAGAATTAGTAATATTTCTTCCGTAATAAGTCATTCAGTCAACCCACAAAAACTTTATCTCTGATCAGAGATTATAATACAGTACTAATTAAACCGACTTCCTTGTTTGTCGCAGCTGCAAACAGACCATGTTCCACAGACTGATATGGAATTATACATGACAAATTAATTCCTCAAACCCCACAGACTATCCCAAAATCTGGTTTACCACTGAAAATGTAAAACAGCAGAGTTACTTAAGCTAAAGGCTACAGTTCACACTGAAGGAAAGGGATTATTTTAATGCAGGATAATAAAATTCAGACTGGTTAAGAAACTAGATAGATCACCAGGAAAAGACAACATCAAAGCAATTAAAAATGTTGTAATAACATTGAAGGATATGTTCATATACACTCACCTCTTACACAATGACTTATGCCATTTATTTTTAATGAGGAAAAAAAGATACAAATCAAACTAGATAACACCCATTAAAAAGGCATGTCAGCTAGTGTGGGTGGAGAAGTTGAAGGTTCTCCAGGGTTCTCACACTTTAGGTACAGAGAACACACTAGCCCAGTTACATCACATGAAAGATGGGGATTACTGCAGGCTCCTTAAGAAGCTCCTGACTCCCACAAATGCTCTCAGTCAGAAATTCAATATATGGTCTTTAATCCAAGAACAATCCAACATATAAGAAATGACAAAACCTATATGAATAAGGTGGGGCCTTGATGAACATTTCTAAGAGTCAAAGCAGCCCACTTTCCTTATTTATTTATTTATTTATTTATTTATTTATTTATTTATTTATTTATTTATTTTATTTATTTATTTATTTATTTATTTATTTATTTATTTATTTATTTATTTATTTGTTTGTTTGTTTGTTTGTTTGTTTGATTGATTGATTGACTTGTATGCCATCTACACTCTGCAAGACCCTTCCATGTCTTGTCTTCCTACATAGTGCAAAGGTAGGTTACAGCCAGGATGTTTGCTGAAACAGTAAAAAGGAGAAGCTGTGCTTTTATCTAGACTGCAACGTAAATGACACTGAACTGAAGAACCCTAAGAACTGAGCCATTTTGTGGAGGACTGATGCTCAAATGATGACAAACTGAGAGGCAAACTGTTTTTATAGATCTGCAGGCTGATCAGGAAGAAAATAGTGTGTGCCTTTAACACCGGCATGATTGCAGAAATGAACTGCCAATGCCTCCAATGGCCCTGAGATATACACTATGATCGAGGACTTCCCCAACCCTCTGAAGTGCAGCAGGTGTCTGCAAGATTCATTATGACTGCACCCTCACTATGAAATTAATGTGAAAAGTTCATTTGGTAGTTTTTGTTTGTTTGTTTTGAGTGGCTGTCATGGTGTAGGTAGGAGTTATTTCTCTGGGTTTTTTCCTGGCTTGTTCCTCCAACTACAATTCCACTTGACTCTCCCAGAAAGCAGAGGGGGGAGGCCTGCAAGCCATTCCTGGGAGTTGGCAGGCCCTCTGGAAATGCATTCAATTACCCCACATAGAGATGCAGTGTGGTGGAGAAACTGGCAGAGGTCCCCTGCATGGAAAGAAGTGAGTTTCAGCTTGTGCAAGAAAGCCCATGCCACAGATTCAAGCTTTCTATTTCAAAAAGCATTCAAAGTTGTGGTTTTTTTTAAAGTTCCTTTGTCTTTCATTCTTTACTCTGCTTGTTCATTTCTTTTCATTTCTTCTTTTTCTTAGTGATAATTTATTTTAACTTCTGCCCAGGAAACAAAGAGTCACTTTGTTTTGAGGCCACTTATAGATGTATAAAAATTTGCCATGTAGTCCCACTCTTATGTCTGAGGAAGTGGACTTGTCCATGAAAGCTCACATTGAAATACAGCAGTTAAGTGTTTTAGGTGCCACAACGTTTTTGTCTTCTCTCTCTCTCTCTTTCTTTCTTTGCCTGATATTTTATGGTGAATCACTCAAGAAGCTTTGCTTTGGAGCCGTGTAAACTTAATTAAATAAACACAAGAAAACAACCATTTAAAAGCCCCGGGAGGAAGAAACAAAATTTGGCCACACTGCATCTAAAGAAAATGGCACAAATTCCATGAAACAGAGCAGTCTGAATGCAGAGTGAGAAGGACGTGCCAGATGTCCTAAGAAAACAAGAAGAACAAGTCCACCTATTGGGGGAAAAAGGAGCAAAGAGGAGGAATGCAAATGTGTGGTGGTGCTGAGGCCCTGGCACTTTGCCTGATACAGGCTAGTCTTTGTCAGCCGGAAAACAAAAAGTGAATTCTTATCTCCATCACGGGCACAATGGCCCAATGTCAGGCAGAAGCTAGCCTTTTCCTTCCTGAATGGCTGACAGTCATACCAATATCCTTGAAAGCAAAGATCTCTTAATGAGGAAAGAGAAGAGTAAGGATGGAGGCCAATCATGTCCAACCCGTCAGCTCAGTTTCTGTGTGCAGAACACTCCGAATTCAAAGCACAATGAAAGGACAGGGGGCACAGGGCAGAGGCCTTTACAGCAGAAAAAGATGGGGAAGAGATACAGAAGAGTCCTG